CTAAGGAAGCATGTGGAATATGAACCCAACTTTGGTGCATCGGACTATACAATATGAGAGATGCTTCAATTCCTGTTTTGTGAAAAATGGCAGGAAGTGCTAACTTTATAATTTTTATTTTTGAAAATCAAAATACTTTAAAAATTTTTAAAACCTCGAAACATAGTTTTATGGACATTTCGCGCTCTAGCGAAAAAAAAATCTAGGCGGAAGTGGGCGTGGCCTATATAGGGAGGTTCAGCTCCATTCACCGAACGCGTGGATATAAGGTTTTTGAATGTGGGACAAACGATGCAGGAGTTATTAGCGTCACTGAATTTGCTTAAAAATAGCGCCGCCTAGTGGCCGACCTGAAAGTGACGCAGAGAATATCCGATTTTTCACCAGGCCCGACAACTTTGCCAAATAAAATGTGTCTAATGTATATGTTCAGGGGGTCAAAAATCCAGTGAAAGGGGCCCAAAATAATAATATTACGGAGAAATCGAGCAAAAACAATAGGGACCTTCCAGTTCATACTGGCTCGGTCCCTAATAAAAATAAATATATATTGGAATCTGCAATGCAAGTACTAAATGTAATATACCTGCTGCTTAGCTCCATCTGTGATGTTCAGCACTCTTTGACTCCATACATTATGTAATCACATTTGCTATCACCACAACTGGACCCATGAACACTAACTAGACCTCCTCTGTCCTATATGCAGGAAAAAGAGAGAGAGTGTGCAACAGCTGCCAGTGACTCATGTTGAAATGACATGAACGGACATCTGATGGAAATCAGTAGTACCACAGCAGGTTAAGCTGACTAGGTTCCACTGTCTGAGTGGAATACAAACTTGACAAGATGATAAGGATGTTCATAAATTCTGATTGTTGTAAAGGACTGGACTGCTTAAATCTGATTAGGTTGATGATGGTTGATTGACCTTGACCTACTGCCACTGTGATTTAAAGTGGAAGACAATGGATGGATGGATGGATGATAGCTAACGTGGAAAAAGCAGGAACAATTCCTTGCCATGGAGAGTTGTAGTAAAGCCCATACAGCACCAATGTTTTCTTTGACTTACACCAATGGTTCCTAACTTTTTTCCTCAAAGGACAAGTGTATAAGAGGTACCCAATACAGCCAGTACAGCCAATGTTTCATCTGTCCATATTGGGCTACTTTTGTTGGTCTTGCTAACACCAGCCCCTCTAATCATTCAATTTTGAGCTCTCTCAACCATCGCAGCTCTACCTGCCTGAAAAGACACACCTCCAAGCAGATAGCCCTGTTGTAATGGAGATGCAAATGGAGTCAAGAAAAGCCGTGTACGGAAAAGGCCTGTTATATGCATGTGCAGTGGGCCACATAATGGAAACACCATTCAAGAGGGAAGAAAAGCTTTTTTGCCATTGCGCTGGACGAACAAGTTTCATTCAAGTTGACTGACTGCTGTCTTGGTAACTGGTATCTAGTTCTAATATTACGTCCATGTCTAGGGCATGCCATGTTTGTGTCCACCTGCTCTACCTTACCTTATCCTATCTATTTTATGCAGATCACATGTTTATACCAGGTGGAAATGGAACATTACATTCATGACTTCATAATATTGTTTGGGATGCTGCTGCAGTGCCAGTATCTCACTTTAAAGCTGTCTCTTTTGCACTACTACTTAAATTTTCATTATCACATCAATATATTTTACTTGTGAGTGTGTCCAGTAAAGGCTGATGTATCAGCATACAATGCCCTGCAGGGCGATATGACGATATCAGGTGGATGAAAGTCAGCTGGAGGTCAATAGTCTTCTACCTGATTACAGTCCCTACTGTATGTGAGTGCAGTCTGCTCTTAATAGGATTTTTATGTATTCAGGAGTGGGCTGTGTTTCTCCAAAGTCAGTTCATTATTACTCATATACTACACCAGAGGGACAGATTTTCTGCCATACTGCCATACTGTATCCTATCCTGTATCCTAACCTTGTCTTCTCTGCCATTAAAAACAGTTTGGGGAAAATGGTTGTACTTCGTGCATAAAACTCTGTCATGTCAATGTCAAAGCAAAGTGTAATAACTGAGGGAGAATATCAGTGCTGGTTTATGGTCAGTGGTGGCAGGCTGGTTTATTGAGGTCAGTTTTACAGGTTGCTGTAAGGGAAGAAGTTGTGCTCCAGCAAAGAGTCATAATAGACAGAGATATAAATACTTGCAACTGACACCACTGTTCTTATTTGAATGGCCTGCCTAAATCTGGTGTAAATACATGTACAGTGTGTGTACAGTGTGTAATGGTAAATGGACCTGTACTTGTATAGCACCTTTCTAGTCTTCCAACCACTCAAAGCGTCTTTTACACTACGTGCCACATTCACCCTTTCACACACATTCACTCAGTGAGTCCATCGAACAGAACTAACTCATTCATACACATTCACACACCAATGCTGTGCATCGGGAGCAATTTGGGGTTCAGTATCTTGCTCAAGGATACTTCGACACGTGGACGTGGACGACCCGCTCTGCCTCTGAGCCACAGCCGCCCCCGTGTGTGTGTGTGTTAGTGGCTAATGCGTTTATGATGACAGTTTTCTGCAGATAATGACAATATGCTACAGGTTTGACAGGAAATGCATGCTCTCTAAAAGCTACAATTACTAATAGGGTGTGTGTCTGTATTTGTGTGTGAGTGAGTGAGTGAATAGGGAAGTTTGTAGTTACAGCTGTATAAAACAAGTTTGGCAAACGAGCCTGTACACACTGCGACAATCAAAGCTGATGCCATGCAGGCTAATATTTTGAATTCAAGTTATCCATTGTCTATATAAATTCAACTCAATTCAGTTTTATTTGTATA